GGCAAATATAAGGATAGTGTTCAGTTTAAGAAGTGGAAGGAAAAACTCCCCAGGATTATTATAGAGATGAGAAAAATCCACAAAGTTAAGTAAAGACTAAAAAATCCACAAATTAAACCTGGGCTGGATTCACAGAAGTGGCAGGTGACAAAAGTGTCACTATGCCAACCTGACGCCCCATTCTACCAGTCCACTTTTCATTGCTGAGCCAAAGCAACACTGACACCAAAATAACCCTTCAAGACCATATAGTTATGTACCGCATAATTCTGATACACGTTGGTTGAAAGAGCTACATTTTCCCAATGGACAGGTCTGGGCAGTTAGTGGGGAGGCTGTGGCTGGGACAGCTGCGCTGCTGCCATCGTGAGGATGCCTCCAGCGGCAGCATCAGTACCTCCTGAATCCTGCATCCTCTTCTGTTGCTTCTGCTGCAGCTCCTTCTGGATCTTGTAGATCTTGTCAACCAAGAGGTGATAGTGCTCCTCCTGTGACAAGACCAGGCAGTAAAAAACAAATGAATGAATTAAAAAGTGAGCAAGGGTGAATGGTTTGCCAGGTGATTTTCCTGCGATGGACACTGGTCTTCCTAAGGAGCCACTCAAAATTTCCAGTGTTTTTTCAAATTTTGACTTTTTTTTTAAATAGTGGGTGGATGGGTCAAGGAAATAAATTGAAAATCGAAATTTATTTTTTATATTAAAATCCAGAAAAATTTATTTTTCTGAAATATGTCTAGCGTGCACGCCACACATATATAGCTCAGCCACACCAGCATTCCAAAAATGCAACGTTTGTCACCTTCGTTTCCATATACAGACAGGTGGACCTTTCCATTACATTATTATGCAAGTGTAAAACATCATGGAAGGAGGTGGTTTTTACTGTTAGACTTGGAAGCCGGGCGCTTGCAGCGGTGATCAACCACAAATGTAGCAGGGTACCAGAAGCATTATATAAACCTACTGGTATACACAGTGAACGTTGAACACCAGTTGCTAATAACAGTGAAACGTTCATCACCTTGAATCTAAGGCCAGACAGCAGCAAAATGCATCCAAATCTGTTGGCTAGAGCTAGGTCTACATCTCCGTTTCTATAGAATTACATATGCATGTGCGTGGAGACGTGGTAATTGACTGTAGGTGTAGCCGTACCTCGGGAGATCCATTTTTGAGTGGATTGGACATGGCATGCTGTTGCGTGCACGATCGATCACGATCATTTATTGCAATTCCAGCCATCATCTTGTCAG